TGGTGGAGCTGAGGTTGGGTGGCAGAGGAGGGATCAAAACAGCTGCTAAGACTTCGGTGGTCCCAGAGGTGTGCAGATTTCTCCCAAGCAGCAAGCCAGCCCAAGTGTCCTCTCACCCCAGCCGGCCCCAGCCGGCTCTGCGTGTCTCCCTGCAGGGAAGTGGTGGCAGTTGCCCCTCGGGCAAGGGCTCGGTCCTGGTCCCCGTCCTGGTCCCCTCCAGGCGGCCACTGTGGTTTTCCCCGGGCTCGGAGGAGCTCACCCTGTTTGTGGCAGCTCTTGGGGTACAAAGAAACACTTAGATCCGCTAGTTTGATAGGATGGAGGCAGACGGTGAGCCCCAAGGGGCACAGAGCTTCCTGCCCCAACCCTAGGGATCCTGCCTCTCAGCTGTCCCAAAAGGGTGCAAACCTTAGCCACCCTAAGGGGTGGCTTGACTGATTAACCCTTGGCCATTAGCCATCAGCCGGACCAGGTCCCCTCCTCCTCCTCTTACAGGGTTGTGGGTGCGGCTGCATGGCCCAGCACCCTCATCCAGCCCCAATCTTGATCTTCTCGTGACCAGCCCTGATCCCTAGCCACCTAGGGGCAGACAGTCATCAGGAATTCATTAGCATAATAAAGACACCGTCCCTTTAAAGATTCCTAGGATTTTAAGAGTGGTGCCCCAGGACCCTGGGAGGAAGACCAAAGACACGTTTCGCAATGTCGCCAGGCCAGGCAGCCGCGGTGCGGGTGCCGTCCAGGCCGCCCATCCTTGCTGACAGATCGTGCGGGCTGGAGGCTGTGTGGGGGTAGGGTGGCTGCAGGAGCCCTGTGGAGAAGACGGGGCCTTCAGCTGGCTCCTGCTGACCAGGCTCCTGGCTGGTGCTGGCCACAGCCCTACTCAGGTGTCCCCACGCGCTTCCCGCAGAGGAGACCAAGCCCCGGCCCGGCTTTGAAGCCTCTGGAGGGTCCCCCGGCGGGGCAGTGTGCAGCCTGTGCCGGGGCCCCTAGTTCCCAAGCCTCCTGTGAAAGGGGCACACACAGCGGCCCCCAGCCTGAGAGGGTCCTCCGTGGGAGCCTGCTCCCTGTGGTACTTGAGGTCATGGTGGGCAGGTGGCTCCTCCTGAGGGCTGCCCCAGCTGGCCCCAGGCATGCCTCACCCGGGGGTACTTTCCTGTCCCCAGCTAGCGGCCTCTTTCCGGGCACACTGGGCTGTGACCTCTTTGCTCCCTGGAGCCTCTTCCTGGCTTCCTAGAGCTCTGCCGATGTTCACAGCCTCCAATCTGTGCGGCCTGATGAGAAGGCACCCTGAGACAGGTTGGGGTGACCATGACATGCGCACCCCGTCCCTTTCCGCTGACTACCCCCACTCCCAGCAGCTCTGCCGAATGCAGAGACGAGAAGGGCCTGGTGCTGAGATGGTGCCAGCGAAGGCAGAGCCAGCTGCAGGCCAGTGTCACTGTGATCCAGGGACTGTGGCCTGGGTTCCTCGGAATGCGGGGCTTGGCCTGGGCTCACGGGGTCTCGCACCGCGCTCTGTGGGTCAGCGGGAAGCTGTTCTAGGGGACGAGAGGGCCCATGGCACAGGGGTCCGTGACCCAAGGGAGGAGAGAGACGTGTCCCCAAATGCACACGTGTGCACACAGGCAGGGACAATGGATAAAGGTGGCCTGTAAAAATTACTTCAAAAAACAAAAGCCCCCACTGCGGACCCGGGCCCCCAGAATCTGTTGTAACAGATTCACCCAAGCTGGTTAACGGTATTTGTGGTTTGCAAGATACTACATGTCCCGAGAAAATGACAGACAAGTTATTATCACCTCTCCACTGTCCTCCTGCCCAAACCTGCCTGCGCCGGGCACCCAGCTGCCGAGAGTGGGTGCAAGGAAATTAACAGCCCCGCACCGTTCCCGCCCCAGCCAGCCCCACCAGGCCCAGGGCTCCCAGCCAGGCCAGGCCCATCTTGGGCTGGGGTGGGGAGGGGTCGGGTAGAGCCGTGGCGGGAGGGACAGTGTTTGGGCAAAGCGTTTCCGAATACACGCATCCGAACAGGCAAGTCTAGACGGCTCTGTGTCAACAGCCGAAGATAAATAAGATTTTATCGGCTCGGAATCTGTTGAAACACATCCATCTAGCGGTTCTAGGGGAGAAGGAGGCAGGAGGGGGGCGCAGGCAGAGGAAGCATCTCCTCTGACCTGCAGGAGATGGCACCCACCGGCAGAGCAGTCCTGCAGGGTCCTGACTCCACCAGATGTCACAAGCTGCGCTGGAGGAAGTCGCTGGAGTCAGAACGTCCTGGGGTCAGGACTGGAATACCACCTGTCCTGAGTCCTGTGGCCACCATGCCCCCACCCCGATGTTCCCAGGCAGCAGGAAGCCACAGGCTGCGTCAAGCCGGGATTTAGGCCATGTGTCCAGCCCACTGCAGGGGGCACGGGCCCTGCACTGGGTACCTCTGTAGGGAGAAGGCCATACCCATACCCAGGGATGGGCCCGAGAGATGGCGCCCAGCTTGCCCAGCACAGCGGCCTGTCGCTTCCCACCCTGGACCTGCCCACCAGAGGCTGCCGCTTGTTCCGCCCCCGCGTGCTCTGGAGGGGAAGGTCCAGCCGCCCCGCCCCAGTACCTGGGACAGCTCCCGGCGCCAGCTCCTCCCCGGGGCGGGGCGTCTACAGCACCCCTGTCCAGCACCTCTGCCCTGGCCACGTGTCCCTCGCTTTCCCTGGCCCTTCTGAGGCCCCCGTGCACCGGCTGGGACGCTCCTCCCACAGCTTCCAGCACTCCTGAGGTCTGGGCTGGCTGGGGCGCCGCACAGTCGCTTGCCACGGGGATGCAGGGCCAGTGGGTCCGGGGCGGGACCCCAGGGGAAGGGTCACCGACAGGCACAGGCTGTTGAGACTGCCCTCAGGAGCGTGGGGGATGCCTGCGGCTGCACCCCAAGCCCCACTCCTTGCTTCTTCCTGGGAAACGGGGCTGGGGAGCCTGGTCTCCGCTCCAGGCGTGTCGGGGCTGCCCAGGAATGCAGTCGCAGGGCCCTGTCATACCTGGCCCCGCCCCGCTCCCAGCCTGGCTTGGCCCTTCTCGGGCTGGGGCTGAACAGTGGGGAGGACAGAGCGCCTGGCTGGACAGCCCTGCAGAGGGGACTCAGGGAGCCAGAGCCTGCCTGTCCCTGGGGCTCCCCGCCTACCGCAGGGAGCCGTTACCTCCTTACCTGGTGAGGCGGCAGGCCCAGGCTGGCACTCACCATCTGCTGCCGGGGCTCTGCCTGAAGTTCATTCTCGGGTACAGCCACAGAGGGGTGGGTCTGAACCTGAGGCCGCCTCAAAGCCCCTGGTCCCCGGTGCCCCTGCTGACGTTGACCTGGGCCCACCTGCCAGCTCCGCCCCTCAGCCCTGTTTCCGTCGCTGAGCTAGAACTGGCAAATAGTAGGTGCTCAACAGATGCTTGCAGGTGGTGCCTCTTCAGGTCCTCGCTTAGCCCTACCTCGAGGAGGGTGCACCATTCTGGGGTGGGGCCCCCGCCAGGAAGCGCCCCTGGGTCGGGACACCACCTGGCGCCTGTGCAGTCCTGGGGGTCTTCTGTGGAGTGTGATGTGTGTGCCTTTCCCACCTACCTGCACTGCACAGAGGGGCAGGGGACAGCTGCTGCTCACCTGACTCCGGGGCTGCATTCTGCGAGGCCGTGTGCTCCACCGATGACCTACAGGGCCAGCTCACCAGGGGGCTGCCTGGGGCCTCAGAGAAGTCTGGCAGCCTCTCCTTCACCGCCAGCTCACTGTCCCTCTTACCTGCCACCTCCTGCTCCCCTCCTTCGGCGCCCAACCTGCGTGGATGGAGGCCACGCTGCAGTGTGGGCCTTTGTCCAGGATGCTGGGCCCCGGACACTGGCCTCTGGGAGGGGGAGTGAGGCTCCTACACCTCCTGGGCCCAAGGATCAGAGGACCCCACTGGGGACTGTGCCCACATCCTCGGGGGCACGATGACCACTGCTCCTCGGAAGGGATGCTTGGGGAAATGGAGGGGCAGGGATCATCCCCGGGAACTGAGCTAAGCCCACACCTGCGAGCCTGCTCCTCCTAGGTCAGCGGCCAGGTCCCGTGGGGTGGGGCTGCACCCCTGCCAGGGTGCTTTCTGCTTTCCACCCCGCAGGGCTGCACCCCACAGCGGTGTTGCCCTCCTCTCCCTTCCTCTGCCCTGGCCCAGGGTCTTGTGCTTCCTGCAGGTCCACTGTGCGGGGCCCTTTGCGAGAGTTGGGGGCCCCACCTTCCTTAGCAAAGGACCAGTCGGCCCCCTGTTCCTTCCTTGGTTCTGCCAGCAGTGCCCTGCCTCTGGCCTCGGCTTCCCCCAGGGTGATGGAGCCTTTTCTGGGGCACTTGAGATTGTGGCTTGTGAATCCGAGCTGCTGGGGCTAGGGGGTGCGGAGGGTGGGGTGGGGTGGAAATCGGCTTCTGAGCCAGTGAGTGATGGCCCCAGGGGTCTCAGCAGGGCCAGCCTGGGCCACAGGGCACAGACACAGAGGTCCCTCCGGGCAGCTCCTCAGGGAGGCAGAGTCTGATCATCCCTGGGGATGGCCCTCTTGTCTCCTCAGGTCCTGGTCTGGGGGGGCTTGGTCTTTGTAGTCCCCTGCAGCACTCAAGGGCCCAGACTGAGCGGCAGAGGGCGTCTGCTCCGGCTTGATGGCTCCAGCTGGAGGGAGGGCAGGCGTCCGGGTCCCTGGGCAGCCGAGGCTACCTCGCCATGCCTGTGGGCACTGCTAGGGAGGTGGGCTACGGGGCTCTTCAAATCCGGCCCAACTCTGCAGACCCCCATCTTCAGACCCTGCCTGCAGGCAGATGGAGCGGCCCTGACTGCTGCAGCCCGAGTCCCGGGTAGGGTTGGCTGAGACAGCGCCCCTACCTGGAAGGGTGCCAGCGGTGCAAGAGACAGCCTCATCAGAGCCTGGGAAGAGGGGCCCGGGCGAGGCGCAGGCTGCGCGCGGGGAACGGTGGGCTGCGGGCCTCACACTATGCCCCCCTGCAGTACTCCCCAATGCTGAAGAAGCTTTACTGCCAAATCGCCAAGACGTGCCCCATCCAGATCAAGGTGTCCACGCCGCCCCCCCCTGGCACCGCCATCCGGGCCATGCCCGTCTACAAGAAGGCAGAACACGTGACCGATGTCGTGAAGCGCTGCCCCAACCATGAGCTCGGGAGGGACTTCAACGAAGGTGAGGCACCAGGCGGCCGCTGCAGCACCATGGCCAGCAGCCTGGGCGCCCACAGGAGGGAGTGGGCAGGGCTGGGGAGGAGTCTGGGGGGCAGCGGCTGGCACCCTGGGGGCGCTGTGGAGCAGCTTCCAGTGTGCCTGGCGAGGCTGTGGGCACCGAGGTTGGCAGAAAGGTGGGGATGCAGTGACGGGGGTCAGGCACGAGGTCTGAGCCCTACCTAGGACGCTGCAGGGCCGGGCCTTGTGGTCCTGGCTGTGCTGCCCGAGCCTGGGCCAGGGCTGGCCGGCCCAGGGCTGGGCCCCTCTCTGAAGCTGCGTCCCCTCCCGGCAGGACAGTCTGCCCCGGCCAGCCACCTCATCCGCGTGGAGGGCAACAACCTCTCGCAGTATGTGGACGACCCTGTCACCGGCAGGCAGAGCGTCGTGGTGCCCTACGAGCCCCCACAGGTAGGACAGGGCCAGGCAGAGGCATGGGGCAGGGCGGCAGGCTGAGGCCTGCTTCACTTCAGGCGGCCACGCAGCTCCCTGCTCCGGGGCCTGCCCGTGTCCTGGGCTCTTCCCGCCCCGGCATCTGGTGTGTGGTCATGACCCCTCCTGTGTGCACCTACACCCTGGGCCTCAGTGGGCCCAGCTATACCCTGAGGTGTGTTGATGACCTCCAGGCTCTGAGCCCTGCCCTCCCGGGAGACTTCTCCTCCCGCCTGTCCGGCCTGGGATCCCCAAGGTTCTTGTACCTGGGTTGGCAGAGGCAGAATGAAGCCAGGGAGCACTTGGAGTGGTCAAGTCCATGCTGCGGCTGGGGTTGAGGAAGGGGCTGCGAGGCCGGGCTGGCAGACAGAGGGAAGGCAGCTGGAGGGGCTGAGGCCTGGACTCCAGCGCTGGAGGGAGCTGGGTGAGGAGGGAGCCCTGTGGGGACACTGACACCCACGCACACAGGCAGGGCCTGGAGAGCCTGCCGGCGGCGGGGAGATGCAGGAGGCAGCCAAGCAGGAGAGGCTGGGGGGTCTGACCTTTGACTTGAAGCCAGCTGAAGGTTCTAGGGTGGGGCACAGCGTTGGTCTGATAGGGGAGCTGGAGCGAAAGGCTGGGGTCAGCACACCCTGGCCCATGGTGGGACAGGGTGTCGGGAGCTTCCCAGGGAAGGCAGGTGACTGCAAGCCCTGTCCAGTACATGGATCTGGGACCAGCTCCCCACACCCCATCCCAGGGCCCCCCGACACCTTTCCACCACCAGGACTGGGCCCTGGTCCTCCCTCCCTCCTCTGCTGTGTCCCACCGGGCCTGCGGGGGAGCAGCTCTCTCGCCCCTGGCGGCTACCATGTGCAGGCTGTTCTGTGAAAGGCTGAGGTCCTCACAAACCACTCGTGGCATGCGTGTTCGGACTAGGGACACCAAAAACTGCCTGTGCTGGGTCCCCAGGGCACCCAGGGGCAGGAGTCCTGGGCTCATGTCTCAGCTCTTCCCAAAACTCCCTGAGAGGCTGTGCTGCGGCGGGGGTTTTCCTGGGATGGCTTTGGTCCTTCCCTGAGCAGCACCTCACGCCCTTCTGCCCAGAGAAGCCCACAGCACACAAGAGCTGCATGCACGCCTGCTTGTGCAAGGCACACACCTTCCACAAAGGACTGCACACACAGGCACGTGGCACAAACATGTGTCCCAGGGCCTATGCAAACACCCACTCTCACAGCCCTGGGGCTTGTCATCGGCCTGTGTCAGGGGAGGAGGGAGAGTCGACTGACCAGGGATTCTATGCTTCCCGAAGGGCAGAGACCAGGGCTGAGGTTGCCTAGAAGCCGGAGCCAGCACAGTGCTTAGTGCTCAGTGTACCAGCTGGGTGGGTGGGCAAGTGAGTGAATGGAGGAGTGAGCGAATGGGTGAATAGTAGATAAATGGATGGGTGGATGGGTGGTGGATGGATGAAAAGGTGACTAGAGGGTGGGTGGGTGGGGGTAAGTGGATGAAGAGGTGGATGGATGGATGGATGGATGGATGGATGGATGGATGGACAGATGGATATGTGGATGGGTGAATAGCTAGGCAGATGGATGTGTAGATGAATAGCCAAGTGGATGGTGGGTGGATGAGTGAGGAGATGGATGAGCGGTGGGTGGATGGACAGAGGACTAGATGGTGGGCACATGGCTGGTGGGTGGATGAGTAGATGGGTGAGTGAATAGGTGATTGGACGGATGATATAACCACAGAGGAGTCCTGGCGCCTTGCCACCTAGAACCAGGGCCAGGCTGGAGGCCTCCGGCCTGGCAAGGGGCTCACGCGCTGATGCCACGCCCCATGTGCCTTCTGCGTGCAGGTGGGGACAGAATTCACCACCATCCTGTACAACTTCATGTGTAACAGCAGCTGTGTGGGGGGCATGAACCGGCGGCCCATCCTCATCATCATCACTCTGGAGACCCGGGAGTGAGTCAGCCGGTGACGTGGTGGTGGCGGTGGGGCAGGGACGTGAGCCAGCCCTGTGAGAGCCATGCCGGGGAGTCGGGGGGCCAGCTGGGGAAGGGGGTCCTGGGAGAGCTTTGCTGCCCACGTGGCGCTCGGCCCTGGGGACTCACGTTTCCGGCTGTGCCCACCCAACAGCGGGCAGGTGCTAGGCCGCAGGTCCTTCGAGGGTCGCATCTGCGCCTGTCCTGGGCGTGACCGCAAGGCCGACGAGGACCACTACCGTGAGCAGCAGGCTCTGAACGAGAACGCCACAAAGAACGGGGCTGCCAGCAAGCGTGGTGAGCGGGCTCCACCCTGGTCATGGGCCGGCAGCAAGGCAGGCTGGGCTAGGGTGACTGTCAGGCAGAGTGCAGATGGCACCCGGGGATGGACCCAGGCCTGATGTGGCCCTCAGACCAGTCAGCTGTCCCTGGTACCTAGGTCCAGGGCCCACATGGCACCTGGGGTTTGGTCTGTCCAGAGTGGGCACTGCCTGGACCTGCCCTGTCACTGGGCCACACCAAGGGAGGGGAGGGCACCTGCCCGGGGCCGTGCCCGGCTCACCCAGCCTTCCCCACCCTCCCTCCAGCTTTCAAGCAGAGCCCCCCTGCCATCCCCGCCCTGGGCGCCAACATGAAGAAGAGACGGCACGGGGACGAGGACATGTACTACATGCACGTGAGTGGCCCTTGGGTGGCAGGGCGGGCTGGGGTGCTGCAGAAGGCAAAGCAGCGCCAGGCAGATCCTAGTGCACCCCGCACCCAAGTCCCAGGAGAGATGCTCCTGGCGGGACGATGGGTGGGAGGGCGGTTGGAGCCCTGTAACTCTAACATCCAGCAGGTGGCGCTGCAGCAGCCTGCGTCTGCAGGACCAGGTGCCTTGCCGGGATTGGTCTTTTGCAGCGGGAGCTTTGAATGATTCTTCAGGAATGAGACACCTGGTTTACAAGATCATATCTGCTGGCAGCCTAAGAGGGAACAGGAGGGAGTGGGTGTCGCCCCCATGCCGAGATCCTCCCACTGGGTCAGGGCTCTGATCAGACCCACCCCTGAAGCAGAGGAATCCTGAGCTTATGGGGTGGTGCTGTGCTGCCGGCCAGGGTCCTCCCCCAGGGTGAGCGGTGTGGCGCCGACGGAGACCACTATGATGCAGCTCTGAACAGGATTTAATATTAACCAATTGGCTTTTCATGTTTACTTGTGAGTTGTCTGAAGCTTAGGCACCTTGTCTGGGGAAGGGCAGTGGACTCATAGTAAATGAACCTCTATGAGTCACTGGTCTCCGCTGAGGCTCACATTGGCCTGTGAAGCTGGGACGCCTCAAAGGACAAGATAAGGCCACAGCTGAGAACGTCTGGCGCCAACCCCAATTAACCAAAGGAGACGGTAGCTGCAGGCACCTCACTCCTGCTGTGAAGGCCTTCCTGGAGATAACACAGTTCTCCCAAATTAACAAAAGTATTACTTGGAGAAGTCTGCAATGGGTTTCCCAAGTCCCGCTCAGATTCCTGTGTTTTCTTAAATATCCCCCTCCTTTGCCTGTAAACCAAATAAATTCGGGCTGCCTAGAGAAGTCTTTGGCTAAACTCAGAGAATATCAAATGTTATAAGACAGTTAGACCCTCCTGGAGGCCTGAAATCATTTCAGTTGTCTCATTTATTTAAGCCTTCGCCGTCCACTTGCTTGGGAGATTGTGGGCCTGATCAGCCTGCAGTAACTAAGGGGTGTTTAACCCGAGAGCTCCTCACCTGGCAGTGTCCCTGTCTGCGCACAGGTGAGGGGCCGGGAGAACTTTGAGATCCTGATGAAGGTCAAAGAGAGCCTGGAGCTCATGGAGCTTGTGCCGCAGCCCCTCATCGACTCCTACCGGCAGCAGCAGCAGCAGCAGCTTCTACAGCGGCCGTGAGTGAGCCCCCCACAGCCCTGCTGTCCACCTGTCCGCCAGCATCACAGGGAGCCCCCGGGAGGGCGCGAGGATAGTCCAGCCCACAGGGAGAAGAGCCGGGGACAGGCCGCGGGTGAGACAGCCCGGGTTTCGCCCAGCGACCCCGCCTGCAGGAAGCCTTCCCCAAGGGCGGTGCCCTGGGACCCAGGGACCCTTTGCTACCTCGCTCTGCTCCCTGCCTGCGAGGGGCCTTTGTACAGCTGCTGAGTGGGAAGACAGGGAGGGGCTGGCCCAGCCAGTCAGCTGTGCAGCGTGAGAGCAGGGGTCAGAGCGGGCAGGTGGCCGGCCACATCTGAGCACGAGGCTGGTGGGACAGAGTCACTCGGGCTTCTGCACAGCGCTGGGTCTCCACCCACATGCACAGAGGGGACCCTGAAGGTGCCTGGATGGGGACGACGGTGCCTGGCTGCCCCCGAACGCGAGCCATTGCTCTCTGGGCAGGAGCCACCTGCAGCCGCCGTCCTACGGGCCCGTCCTCGCCCCCATGAGCAAAGTGCACGGCAGTGTCAACAAGCTGCCCCCCGTCAACCAGCTGGTGGGCCAGGCTCCCCCGCACACCTCGGCCGCCGGGCCCAGCCTGGGGCCCATGGGTGAGTCCCTTGGGCAGCTGAGGCCCTGGGGTTGGGGACCCAGGGTGGCCTGGATGGAGACTGGTCAGCTACACCCCGACCTGCAGGGGCTCTCGGTGGCCGCCTCCCCAACAGCTGCGGCCTGCTGTAACCACCCCACTCCAGGGTCTGTGCTTTGTGAGGACAGAGGTGACCTGTGGTTAAGAGCACACGCCTCACCCTTACCCTGCTTCCTATAGCAGCGGAGCTCGAGGGAGGTTCCTAACCTCACAGGGCCTCGGTTTGCCCGTCAGCAAAATGGCAGAAGTAACAAGACTCACTTGTTTTGAGGGTTAAATGACATAAAGCCTTGTGGGGGTTCAGCACAGGTGGGCAGCTCAGCAGCGTGCAGTCGGGCCGCTCCTGGGAGGTCCCTAGGTGGGCATGGCCCAGCCTGTTCCCTGAGCCTTTGGGATGCAGCGAAACCAGGTGCCTGCAGTCACCCGACCTCGTGGGGCACAGGCACGGGCCCGAGCCTGGTCCGGGGTGGTGACGGGGTGCCAGGCTGACTCCACCTAGGGCCTCCTGCTGAGCCCAGTGCCTGGGTGACGCCCGCTCCTAATGCCCAGCTGCCTTCTTGCCAGCCCCGGCGATGCTCAGCAGCCACAGCCATGCCATGCCCACCAATGGTGAGCTGAACGGCGGCCACAGCTCCCAGACCATGGTCTCGGGGTCCCACTGCACCCCGCCACCCCCCTACCATGCCGACCCCAGCCTCGTCAGGTGCGTAGATGGCTGCCGGCCCCATCCTGTCCTCTCACCACGCGGCTATCCCCAGCACAGGATGTTGGGGAGGGCGTCATGGTGGGTTCATCAACAGACGCTCAGAAAGTGCACAGAGCCGGGGCTCCCGGGCATGGCACCCAGGGTCGGGCACCTCGGCCTCCCAAGGGGCTGCAGCTCTGTCACTGTGGCCAGCTTGGGCAGTGGGGTGACCCGGAACTGCCCTTTGGGAGCTGTCCCCACCCCCAGCAGGCCACTCTCCCGGAGGGACGAGCCGTAGCCCGGCGCTCCTGAGTTAGCACACTTCCTTTTCCCGCCTCCTCTGCAGTTTTTTGACAGGACTGGGCTGCCCCAACTGCATCGAGTACTTTACCTCCCAAGGGTTACAGAACATGTACCACCTGCAGAACCTAACCATAGAGGTAAGCCCAGGGCCGGGGCTGGGGCCGGGCACTGCTCACTTTGCAAAGCCTTTTCTGGCTGGAGCACACACGGCAGCTGGAGGAGCTTGAGGGTGCAGGGCGGGTGCATCTGGCCTCCTCCCTGAGCTGAGCTCCAGGGTCCCTCTTTTGTCAGTATCTCCTGGTGCCCAGCGGCCTGGCTGATTTTGACTTTAAGGGTTAGGCTGTTTCCAAGGCCTAAAGAATGGAAGAAGTCAGGGACCCAAGGGAGACAGTCAAGTTCTTAGCTGTGCATGTGGGAGAAGGCAAGCAGCCCACCCCCAGCCACTCCCAGCCACCCACTCGCCCCACGCACCCGTGCACCCGGCCGCCGGGCCTCCTGGGCTCAGCATGTGTGGGCGGAAGGACCTGGGTGCAGGAGGGAACAGGCTTGGGTTAAGTAAGAACCTTGAAGGCCCAGGTCCAGGCAGCTTTGAGAAGCCCACAGGACACAGTGGTCAGCCCCGTGGTCCGGTGGGGTCCCAGCTCTCTGTCGCTGGCTCAGCTGGGTCAGGGGCCAGCCCGTTTGTCCCCAGCCAGGGCTTGAGGCCAGAGATGCAGACATGTTGGAGGGAGCCGGGGTCAGCACCTCACTAGCCGCTCCTCGCTGGCCGTGTCTGGGTGCCCACCCTCCACCCCTGTGGCAGCATGGTCCTCGGCGGACCCTCCAGCCCCCTAACGGCAGCCTTCTCTCGCAGGACCTCGGGGCCCTGAAGATCCCGGACCAGTACCGCATGACCATCTGGAGGGGCCTGCAGGACCTGAAGCAGGGCCACGACTGCGGCCAGCAGCTTCTGCGGTCCAGCAGCAACGCCGCCACCATCTCCATTGGCGGCTCAGGCGAGCTGCAGCGGCAGCGGGTCATGGAGGCCGTGCACTTCCGCGTGCGTCACACCATCACCATCCCCAACCGCAGCGGCCCGGGGGGCGGGGCGGCCGGCACGGACGAGTGGGCCGACTTCGGCTTCGACCTGCCCGACTGCAAGTCCCGCAAGCAGCCCATCAAGGAGGAGTTCCCGGAGAGCGAGGGGCACTGAGGGCAGTGCCCTCGCGCCTTCCTTGCCGCAGGACAGACAGGACACTGGGCGGTGCCCAGGGACACGGCAGAGTCCACCTGCCCAGCACCGCTTCTGAGGGACATCGCTGGCCTCGGGCGGTGCCGAGGCCCGGAGGCCACCTGCCGACAGCCTGGACGCCTGTAGAAAACTCCTGAGCTGCCCACTGTGTACCTGCAGGGCCCAGGCCGGGCCGTCCCGGTGCTGGGCACTGTGCCCAGGGACCGCTGTCCTTCGCTGACTGCCAGCAAGGATTCCCACGCCCAAGGACGGGCAGCAGCCGGCAGCCGAGGCCTGTGTCTAGGACGCCGGGTTTGCAGGCTGGTGTGTACGCCGTGTCTCTGCTCAAGGCCGGGCTGGGGACTCCTCTGCAGGACACGAGGACCGGCTCTGTCCCTAGCCCATGGCTCTGCAGGGACCGCGGTGACTTTCCTGCTTCACACAGAAACCTGGGTTTGCTGGAACTGGAGCTGGCTATGCCGCAAGGAAGCTCCTGGTGCTGGGGACCCTGCTGAGCAGATCGAGGGACGGCTGTACTCAGACTGCTGGAAATTGTCAATATTTGATAAAACGATACACTTTTCTACGCCATGGGTCAGCTCTTCCTTCCTTCCTTCCTTCCTTCCTTCCTTCCTTCCTTCCTTCCTCCCTTCCTTTCCCTTTCCCTCTTTCCCTCTTTCCCTCTTTCTTTTTCTTTCTTCCTTCCTTCCTTCCTTCCTTCCTTCCTTCCTTCCTTCCTTCCTTCCTTCCTTCCTTCCTTCTTTC